TCATTTTCCATATCGACTTCAAAATTACAGTTCTCCGGTAAAGTCGATTACAAATCATGCTTATTTTTTCGGTAAATGTTACCGATCGTTCGGTAAATTTGACAGCTAATTTTGCTGATTCAGTTTACAGATTTTTCGGTAATGTTCTCGATTACCGAAAACATTACCGACCGTTCAGCTGTTGAGAATTCGGTAAATGAATTACCGAAGTCGGTAATTTTTTCTAAGTGTGTAGATCATGAAAGTCAAAATGAAAAAAAAAAAATGTTTATTTCGTGGTGGAGGAAGTTTCCTCTACCAACCATAAGGAATTTTTGTATCCATTATGAAAGACTGTTCATGACTATTCAATATGGAAATGTAAACAATCAAATTAATAATCTAATCTAAAGCATTTGCAAGTCATCTTAACCTAAAATTGTTGTCCTCTGAGCCCTGTATGTTTTACAGTCAATTTTCAAATAACTATCACCTTTTATTTGGAGGACAGTCATATGGATGCTCGTCAGTTGATGACGAGTTCAACCATAAGGAAATCATCTGAAATTCGACAGCATATTGTTAAAGGGCTCGAGCAATACAATAATCAGTCGAAGTATTGCGGATGCTTTCGTTCAGTGTAGTTGCAAGGTCCACTCGGTAAAATGGATCGTCCCGCTGGTAGGGCTCTCAAAGCCGAACTGAACCTATCACTGAAAAATTGGACAAATCATATATTGATTGAAAACTAATCATTTTAATAATATACCCAGTTTAATCATGCTGGCTTTCTAAAAACTAATCAAAGTTGATTGAATTTTAGTCTCCTCTGAGTAAAATTTAATCATGTTCATGATTATTTCCATGAAAGTGTTAAATATGATTAACAGTGCAAAATCAAACGTCAAACTTGTTCGAAACCTCGTTTGCGTTTGTGATTCCGGGTGTGCTGCGATGGAAGAAGTGTTCGGTGCCATCGGTGAAGACACCACGGAGGTGCTTAAAGGTAAGATATATAATTAAAAAGAAGCCATTTCTCCATTAGTGCCGGACAATTCGCTCGTCATCATTAGGGTCATTCGTCAAGGAATAAAAATCTGGAAGTTGTCCGGATCTTCATTCATCAATAAATGATTGTTTGATATCGAGAAAGCTTGCGGAAAATCTACTCCGGAAGCGCGGAGTGGGCGAGATTTGTGCCGCATCGGGAATGGACTAGGATCATCCAGCCGTTCAATTGTTGATCGTATAATGTATTCTAATTTTTGATTTCAACGAGTCTGACTCTGACTCCAGCCCAAAAATTGCTTTAACTGCTTTCTATTTTTTTTTTTCGTTTCTTACAGACCCAGTGTTACACAGGAAACCACGGCAACTAGGATAGAACGACGGCAGTGAGGCTAGAAGTAGGAGCGTCCGCTTTGTTTCAACCAAGGCTTGTGTTTTTTAATGTATAGAAATAAAATACAAATGAATTCAAGATTTAGATGTTCTTCTATAAACTTTATCATGTTTTTCCACACACTTATCTTTGTTTGCCGAAATGGGCACCACCGAGCAGCTTGCGTTGATTAGAATGTATTATTGGGATGATGAATAATTAATTTTAAAATGAATAAATCTCAATGTTAATTTTATCACTGCAACATTGAAAAGTAAGCATTGCATGATTATTTCGGATTTATTCATGCATGATTACTGGCAAACTAATCTTGGTTCTGACTGAATAAGGCAAAGCGGAAAATTGCTTAGTTTTTAAGCATTTTTGATTTCATTTATATTTGAGTGTATGTATCGAATAGAGAAAATATATTGTCTTTTTACTTTGACTGTAAACCAGTTATTACTCGCTGAAGTAAATGTCTTCATATCAGACCTATATAATATCAGACCTATATAACAGTGTCGACTAGGATAAATTTTCAAGTCCAAATTTTTCACCGGTGATTACGTGCTTTTGGCGTGAATTTTAACGGCGTAAGTTGATTTTGGTGAAAAGTGCAATAGTGAGATTAGGAAGATTTGTAGTGCAAAACGTCTAATTCACCGTGGAAGTCATTTCCTTTTCCCATTTATGGTATTGCGTTGCGTGAAAAATCGTTTTCCCCGTGAAGTTGGCGCTAACCATTTTATTTTTGTGAAAGAGGAGCGTACTTTTCAATTGAGTACGATTATTTCAACAGACAATTGAAATAAAAGACTTTATGTTGCCCCCCTTTTTTCTCTTTGCATTGTATGATTTTTAATACAATTTTCTTCTCATCAATAGCAACAAAAGAGGACCCCGATAAAACACCCTTTTTGTGATCAACTGTGGCACCCCGGTGGTAAAACTGACAATACCACCTTACCGCTTTGTGTGCAGCTGACATTTTGCGAGGAGGAAGAAAAGAAGCGAACACCAGAAATTGCATTTCGGTTTGCGTGGTGATCGGAGGATCAATCGTTAAGTGCATTTTGTTGTTGCTCTTTGGTGTTGGACATAGTGGTTGCTGCTTTTGGTGCTGTTGATCGGTCAGCCAGTCGGAGGTGCATAAAGAGTTCATCGACCTTTACGAGCTGATGACCTGCCAGTAAAGTGCGAATGTTGTTGATTTGGTCGAGGAGATTCGTTGTTGCTGCTATTGCTGTTCGACGCCGCTTTTACTCTGCGTTGTTGCTTTGCTGCTTGCTGTTGCCACCGACTGCATCCGAGGGCATCGAAGTTTTGCTGTGGTTTATCCGGACCGGCATTTGTTAGTGCTGTGCTTTGGCTGCTGGTGATTTTTTTACATTGCATTTGTTAGTTGATTTTTTTTTACCGACGACATTTCGGGGAAATTGATTAATTTTTACTTGCATTTTGTGCTTTTATTTGTATAAAAATTACATAATAATTACTCCGCTGATATATATAAGATTGTTAAGCATTTGTTCCCCGGTCAGAGTGTTAAACATTTGGCCTATAAACAATGGATCATTTTAGATGGCTGAGTTTTGAGCCCACCACAGTTTTCATTTGGCGCTACTGTATACGGACGAACCAATGTAAAATACTGTGGTAGCCACAGTACGGTGCTGTCAAAACCTCAGCATCTTCAATGATCCATTACTGATGAATTGAAGAAAATGTATGACGAGAAAGACTCTGACGTCATACATACTTATAATTTTTGGACCCGGAGACAGGGGCAGCACGAGAAGTCCGAGGATTTCGTGCTTGCTGTGAAGCTATTAGCTGAATTGTGTGATTTAGGGGGTTTTAAGGATTGTGACATCCGTGATGCACTGGTGATCGGAACGTATGATCGACAATTGCAAAAAAGGTTGTTTGATGAGGATGACTTAACGGCTGCTAAGGCAGAAAAGTTGATATTGAACGAGAAGTTGTCTTCGGACAGGACTCGTTTCGTGAACCGTGATGAAGAGAGAAGAGGCAGTGTAGTATCTAAGTTGGGCAGACGTACAGAGCGTGGTCCATCCAGGCAAGCTTCCCGTTTTAGAAGCAGAAGCTTTGACCGCGACCGTTCTTATTATTCTAGAAGCAGGAGCGGAGGTAGGAGATATGGAAACAGTATTCCAGAGAAGCTTTTTACGTGTTCCAATTGTCATTTGACCGGACACACACAAAAATTCTGCTTTAGGTTAAAGAGGAGGAGTCCAAGGAAAAGTCCTCGGAAAACAAACCTTTTGTCAAGTTCATTGGTTCTCCTAAACCTCCGTCCATTCAAACATCTGGTATTTTCAACCGGTTGAAAGAGGATTTGGCTTCCGATACTGATGACGATGAATCCCCTTGTATGATGATTGCTGCTAAAAGTAGAGTGAACGAGCCATGTTACGTGGAAGCATTGGTCCAGGAAAGATGTGTGACTCTGGAGGTTGACTGTGGATCCGCCGAGAGCGTGATTTTCCTACGAAATTTTAGAAAATGCCCCATCGAAGACAGTAGTTAGAAGCTGTACATGGTCGATGGCAATAGACTTAGCATTTTGGGGAAAGTAAGGGTCACGGTACGACTGAATGGAATCGAGGGAGAACTTTATCTGATCGTCCTGCAGGGAGACAAGGGCTTTGTGCCACTGATGGGTCGCAGCAGGTTAGATATTTTCTACAGTGGATGGAGGAACACCTTTTCCCGTATAGTGTGCCACGCGTGTTCCAGAGGAAACATCAACCAAACCGTTTGTTTACTTCAAAATATGGATTTTCACAACGCAAATTAAAGCATTTTTCATTGAGCATCTTGCCAATTTCCATCGGTAATTGTCTTATTGTACGATTTTCTACAGATCTGAACCTAAACTATTCACACACAAGAAATCTGGATGATCATAACCACTAAGGCACTATTCTAATTTTCCATTTTTCTCAACAAAAATATTCCAGAAGACCAGCAGGATCCTTGCAAAAACGAAACAGAATTAAATTTTTCAACTGTAGACCAAGTTTTGGAGTATCTCAGATGAATGCATTTATCAGGAAAAGTGAAAAAGTGTTCCGCTAGTTTTCGATTTCAGGGCAATTCCAGAAACATCCTCAGAAGCATACTACATGATATACATATTAGAGAACTTCAAAATGGTCCACGTATTTTTAGGAACAATATATAAGATCCGAGAAATGAAAGGAAATACCTAGGATTTCGGGGAAAGTTCATGCAGAGATAATAAAGGGATAATAAGGTTAAATCTGAAAACTTCCATAAAATGTTTGGCACTTTAGGGAAGATTAGAGGACTTCACTGTGGTTCCATCCGCTTCAAGATTAATAAAGATTATGAAAAAATGCTTTAAAGAAACTGAAGGCACAATTAAGAAGTTTTAAGATCTACAGGGAAGCTAAGAAAACTTGAGATCTTCAGACAAGCTCATAGATCTTAAGGTCAGTCCCAAAAACTTCAAGAACCTCTAGACTTCACGAGAAACCTTCATTTGATTTCGAAAATCCAAACACCCATTTAAATCACTACAAAGGGCGAAAACGAAGTCTACAAGGAGGCGGAAGTTTATGATAATGTTCGAAGGATACTATAAAAGGCGTTTTATTTCTATTCCTATCGATGATTAATTTATTGAACTACACTCATGACGCTCTTTAAATATATTCAGATTTTCTGTCTTTGTTTGTCAAAATATTTATTGTTCGAACATACACGCTTTTTTAAATTTTTATTCTTTGATTTGATTTTATACTTACCTAGTCTCTAATCTTAACTAACAATTCGATAAGCCAAGTTAATGTGGTTTGTCACTTTTCGCTTTAGTTTGATTTTCAGTAAACATACATATAGATACAACGTGTGAGAGTGTGTGTATGTTCTTTTTCATCCCTAGAGGAGAACAGATTAGGATCCTATTAGCAAATTCGCTTGTTTGAGATTCACGAATTGATATGAACTTTCAATAGCTTACAGCATAATTCTCGTACTTGATAAAACAAATTGAGAAAGATTCGTTTAACTTAATGCTTGATTACTCTATTAGATCGATTGGATATGCAGAAGAGCAGATGATTGATTCCACCGACAATTGCTAAAGGAGGAAATCTTTACTTTTATCGTTTTCTTAAATATTCAAATACTTCTAGAACTTATCTTGAAATTAGAGAAGGTTTTTGAATTATTTGATGATTTCTTAAGCCTCATCCAGAGAAAGATTGTTCTTAACATTTAAACAATTGTAAGTGTACCTAAATATATCTATTATGGCAAGTTTTTCCGTATTTAGTTAATAAGTATTCAGTTGAGAAAAACTAAATCTAGCATCATTTGATTATAGCCTATGTGAATGATATGGCTAATGTTTAAAATAAGTAGGAGATACTGGTAACAGCTGCCTAGACCAATAATAAATTATTTGTCTTTTGTTTTGCTTGATTGATAAGCTGCTAGTATCTACAAATTTGGCATCGTATTGCATTCATGTGTGAGGAATTTTTTTGCTTTTTTTGCGATAACATAATTTTTTAAAGTTTCCATATTCTCATGATCGTTATTCGAAATTGTAAGATTTGATTTGTAGTTATAACTCCAAGGTCTATCTTGAAATTAAACATATGGCTGCTAGGGCATTTTGCGATTCATGAATGGTCGTTACGAAACTGAGCCCATGTAACTGCAATAAAAAGTGTTCTTTGACCTTATCAAGTCGCTACAGTGTCCGTTCCTTTTATTGCAACAACCCAAAATGTTACATTAATAATATGTATGGAAATTTTGCATTTCGAATAAAATTATACATATACATTTCCACTGAAGCTTATACAGCCAAAAATTGACAAATACAGCGAATATTTGCCTGCATAAGCTAGTCTGCAGCTAACATGAAATCAGAATGTTAAATTGAGATATGTACGCCTTTCTTTGAAGAATGCAGCTCAATGCCCACAACATGGAATTTGTGAATGTGCTTCCAAAATCAAACGGATACTGAAGGGCCAAATAACACGTGTCATTTAAATTTGCAAATGCAGTGTTCGGAAAAACTCAAAAACTCAAAAATCATACAAGAGTTTATTCGCCTACGAGTTTTGCCTTGCAAAATTCAACAACGCAATAATCACAGATGAGATTCATGGTTAACAATAGCTATATATTTTGACATTTTTCATTATTCTTGATATTTTTGCATTTTTGATGACTAATAAAACATACAATTGACGTTTGAGAGGTTTTTATGAGCTTTATCTTGGAATGAATTGTTGGTGATGTAAGTGTGAGTGCGTGAAAATAAATGAGAATATCAAGCGCGGCTTTTGGGCTCAATGAATGAGATTTGAGAATGATTTTCCGAACACTGCAAATGATGCACAATTCGTAAAGATTGAGTAAGCGGAAATATTTCAAAATGTTATGGATAGGAGGTTTAATATTTGACAACAAAAGTTGTGTCATGGAATTTAGAATCTTCTGCCTACTATGTTTTTTTTTATTGACTCCTTCCGACATTTCGTTTCCCAACCCAACATGTAACGTCGCAACGTCAGTAGGCCTTTCTTAACTTTTTGAAATACTTCCGCTTACTACGTTCAGGCATCACAGTCACTTCCATCTGTCACGTACGCAACCGCCGTGACTGCACACGCTATTTGGTTTTGCGTCGCATGCCGACGCGTCTAGGCCTATTTCAGTCGATCGCTTGGGAGGATCGTATCTCGTTGCGCACCGAGATGCGCACTTTCGGGTTCAGATGCCGATGGTGGACGTAAATTTCGTAGTCGTCGTCCTCGTCCTCGTCCGCGTCTTCGTCCGCCTTGATGACGGTGTTCTTGAGCGACCCTGGAAAGGGCGTTATCTCGGCGCTGTCCACGATCTCGTCGTCCTCCGATTGGCCTTTCCCAAAAGGGTTGATCGCAACGTACGATGCGGAGAAACCCTTGAATCCGACCGTATCATCGGAACGGAACCGAACCAGAAGTGCTTGGTTCATTGAAACAATCTCCGGAGGATTCTGAATGCAGGAAATGTTGTTATTAGCAGCTTTTAAAACCTTACGCCCGTATTACTTACGCTATTTCCGCAGTACTTTCCGTGCAGTGGACCACTGGAGTCATCAAGGCCTCCGTACACTTCAACGAAATCGTACGAACACACCCGTTCCTCCTCGACGTCAAATGTCAGGAACTTGAGCTGCACGTTCTTATTGCTGTCCGCTTCAATCGACCACTCGCAATCGGCACCGTTGTCGTACATTCCCGTCCCAAACTTGGCATGGGAATAGATGTGCTTCACCTTATTAGTTGCTCTCAGATGACCACCACATGCCGTGGAATGGCTGGCGAAGAAACCTTTCCGCTGGACACTGGTATCGGTGTTGAAGGCCATGTACATTTCGTTGGATGTTGATGACAGTGGGTGAGGCACCTTTGCTCCACAGAAGCGTCCCAGAGCGTAGCTTTCCGGTGAGTCGCCGTCGTAGATTACAATGTGATCATAGGCACATTCCTAATAGAGCGAGTGTTAACAAAGAAAACATACTCAGAGTTGTTAATGACGTTAAGGCGTTAATGTCATAAACAACCCTCATCAATCTGACTGTCAACTTACTTGGTGAGGCTCGATGTCGAATACGTTGAACACCAATCGGATACGATGTCCTGGGGTTGTTGTAAAGTGCCATACGCAATCCTTCTTTGGTGGATAGTAGTCCGGATAGTTAGGACTGAAGATCTGTCCATTTGGTGAAGACACCTCATACTTGCAACCTCCCTCCTTACAATCGTGGCCATTGTCCTGCATGGTGTACCCATTGTGACACGAACATACGTACGAACCTAGCGTATTTTTGCATTCGTGTTGACATCCACCATTGTTGACTGCGCATTCGTCCACGTCGGTAGAGAATATTGCAGCAAATCCAGTCTTCTGGATAGTTTTGTCCGACTTGAACTCCACGCGCAGCGTGTTGCCGACGGAGGTTATAATTCCGGGTAGTTTGGTGCCGCAGTAAACTCCATGCTTATTCACGTTGTCCTCGTTCAGTTTGGAGTAAACCGCAACGGAGTCGTATTCGCATTCCGATGCTTGGTAGAAGGTGTTGCCCTCCAGGTCAAAGTGAGTAAAGTTTAGAGTGATCTTGTGCTGTGGCGGGGCAATGATTTCCCAAACGCATTCCTTCAGGATGGGGTACTCGTTCGGGAAAGATGGTGAAAGGATTGTTCCGTTAAGTTGCTTCAGAGTTCCTCCACATGCATCTGTGAATGATTGAAAGAATAGAAGAATACACATTATCATTATATATATTGAGCAGTTCCAGACAAAATAGAAAAAGAAAACAAATAAATTTAACTGTTTTTTTTTATCGGCAACGATTCACATTTCCATTAAAATTTGGCCATTTTTGATCTACACACTTAGATTTTTTTGCCGAGATGGGCACCACTGAGCAGCTCGGCATTTTATTTTGCTGGAAATTCAGCAAAAAATATGTTTGTTAGCTGAGATCTCGGCAAAATTCCCGTTTGTTAGCTGAATCTCGGCATGTTTTTCACTGAGATCCAGCAAAATAAAATGCCGAGCTGCTCGGTGGTGCCCATCTCGGCGAAAAAATCTAAGTGTGTAGAATGGATTCCAATTGAGCAGAAGAACTGCCGAATGAATTAGATGTTGCCATATTCTTAATGGATTTTAGCTCATGATTTACGTGACAACTTCTGTCGTAGTCGTCGTAGTCGCAATGTCGTGATTTGACCTCAGACTGGCGTCTCTGAACCTTTCGAAGATGAGCGTACGCGATTTATCCAGTATCTGAAGACCAGCCAGGCGGTGGATCTCAGAATTTAGAGACCACAGAGGACTTTTGAGGATCATCCTAAGGATCTTGTTCTGGATCCTTTGGAGTTTGAGGTCATGAGACTTGAGACTTAGCACAGCTCTTCTAGATTGGCGTGCCATACACAATGACGGGGAGGATGATTTGCGTGTGGACGGCAAGCTTGTTTTCAACGGGAAAGTGTGGACTTTCTGTTGATAAGGGGATAGAGGGACCTAATCAAGATGTTACACTTGGTGGATGTTTTGTGGCAGTGTCATCCACAAACATATACAAAATACCACCAACCGGAAGGAACATGACGAAAGAGACTACCCTGGGGAACCCGAGCATCAACGTTGAACGTATTAGAAGGTGGATTGTTCAAGAAATCATGGAATAATCTGCCAACAAGTAATTTTTGATGATCTTAGCAAGGAAGATCGGGAAGTTGTATCGATGCAGCTTGTACACTAGGCCATCATGCCAGTCATTGTCGAACGCCTTCTCAACGTCCAAAAATGCCATGGCAGATGTCTTGGAAACGGACTTGTTCCACTTGATGATGTTAGTAATCCGTGCGATTGGTGAATGGTAGAGTAGCCTTTCCTAAACCCGAATTGCTCTTTCAGATAGATATTATTATCATTTGAAAACACCAGCAGACGACTGCGTATCAACCTTTCGAATAGCGTCGAGATAGAGGACAAGAGGCGATGGCGATAGCGATAGCTTTTGGCACTGGTAGGGTCTTTGCCAGGCTTGTGGATTGGAATAACTGTCGTATTAAATGCACAGAGCCAATCACTTAGTTTATGAATACATTCGCCTACCCTCACATATAGTTCGTTTATTGTCAGCGGTTTGAGTTTAGACGTCAAATAATCAATATAAAAGTACCCTACACTGAAGGGTTGTCAACCACTTTTCGAATTTTATCAAAAGAAATATCCCGCTACAATAGGAGCTTGCCTGGGATTATGGAACAGAATCGAAGTGCACGTTAAAGTTAGTTAAAAAGGCATGTTAATTGCAAGTAGTACGGATAAGTGTTTATAGTGTTCCCGTTAAGTTAAAAATGTATGACGTGCATTGGCGTAACTACTGGGGGTGCCAGGGGGGCCAGGCCCCTTCCAGAATTATCTAGGCCCCCTCCAGAATTATCTAGGCCCCCTTCAGAATGTTTGGTGTTTGTTTTTGACTCACCGGTATTTTGTCAAGCTTGTTAAGTTCAATGCTACTATTTATCAGTGATTAATAAAATTGAACCACCAACAAAGATTTTTTAAAGTCCTTTATGTTGATTACTTTTGTTATGTTCTGGACTAGAAGAAACAATTTTGAGAAATTATATTATATCAAATCGATGGCAATAAGACGTCTTCAGGCCCTACAAATTGGCCATGAGCCCAGAAATTTTTCTTTATCTTGTGGAAACTTCGTAAAACTTCAAATAGAATTTCTGGGAAGCTCGTAGAAATTAAGTAAACTTGGTAGAAATTTTGGGAAATTCATAGACCTTCAGAAAAATTCGTAGAAAAAAGGAACTTGGGAAAGTTCTGAAAACTGCGTAGAAGTAGAGAATTCATTTAAATTTGAGGAGCTTCGTAGAAGTTAAAGGAACATTATTTTATTTTAGGGAAGCTCATTATTGATCGGGAACCTCTACATAATTTCAGTTTTTTTAGCCTCATGGACTTGGAATAGTTGTGGAAATTCAACAGAAAACTTTGTAGAAGATTTTCGAATTTCGTAGCATTTTGAGGAGCTTTCTAGGTGTTCAATAATATTTGTAGATGTCTTAGGTGTCTTTCCAGAAGCGCAAAGATGTCCAGAGATCTTTGTTGAATTTAAAGAAATGGAAAAAAAAAATATGAAATTTGGAATAAATTCAGGGAACATCGTAGAAGTTGAGGAAATTTTGTAAAACCTAAGTTTTGTAGACGTTCAGGAAACGTTGCATAAGTTATAGGATATTTTTTCAAACATCCATTCTAGACATCAGGAAATATTCGAAAGATCTCCATATAGTCTAAGGCATTAGTAAAGTTCACTGGATATTTGGTAGGTTGTAGGTTGATCAGGAAGTACTCAAAAGTTTTCCAGCTAATGGAATCAGATGGAATCTTGATTTTATGGCCATATTTGTACATTCTCTATAGGGAAGACCCGTGACTTGGTGTTTTAGCTATATTGTAACAAATTTTCACTCCAGCAGCTAAACTCCGGGCAGAAATTTCTATTTCTGCATATACCTAATATGCATAAATTTCTTTCTTTTTGATGAATTGTATGCCCAGAATTCAGCTGCAGGATAGTTAGCATGGATCAGCACTTAAAAATTCCGTGCTTTTTTTGTGTATTTTTTTATTACATTACCTGAAAAAGCTCTTTCCATTATAACTTACGTGTAAATAATAAATTGATACAAAACGGGTTTACCCCAAGGGGTAAGTCACTCAGCACATTGTGATTTATCTTTGCAATTTCAAACCAAAACATTCAAGGTGTCACCGGGTTGCCGGGATGGGTATTTTACAAACAATCGTAGCTTGCTCTATGACCGGCACAATCGGCACACCTGCTGCACACTTGAGGCACACTGACAAAAAAAATGACCCAAGAATGGTGTGCTGAGTGACCTACCCCTTGGTTTAACCACAACTAACTAAATTTAAAATATTAAAAACATCCCAAATTTTGTAAAAATAAGTTAAAATACTATCTAGTTATAAACAGGATCACAATCATGCAAGTTTCGAGTTCATTCTTTTCGATTAGAAATATAGTTAAATCTTGATTTTGTTAGTTAGTTCTTAAATTAAAAAAAAATGTTCTGGATAAATGCTTTATTACTTTTTTTCACTTCAAATATCAGAATCATGACATTCAAAATCCGGTTTCTTAAAAACCTGATAAAATTAAATTATAACCTGATTATTCACAATTTTTTTCCAAATGTCCAGGTTTTTCGAAATTTTTGATTCCTGTTTTCTTACTTTCTTATCTCGAACAATTTTTCTCTCGAGAAATGCTGTGAGTCTCAGAATCTAGGTAAGTTTACTAAGATCTTGAATTACGAATTTGGAAGACCAGGAGATTAAAAACTTGTCTAAGCCTATGACATCGATTTTTTTTTAAATCCATTAAATTTATTGTGAACAAAATTACGTCCACATTTTTTAGAAGGCACATTTATTTTGTGGAGTTTTTTTTAAACTTTTGATTAGGTCAAACATACGATTAGTATAAAAATTCTTATTTGTTTTTAATATTAATGTGCTAGAATTTTGATGAAATGACTGTCCAGGGAGGATATTGCAATTTCATCCTAGTCTTATAATTCATCTAAATTCGTTGACTTTTATTAACATTTGTATTCGAAGAATTTATGCTTACAATCTGTATCAGAGATATCCTTTTTTATTAGTTACAAAATCTTGAAAACATATGGGTTTGGGATCACAAAACTATTTTTATTTTAACATTGACAATGTTAAGAATTGTGCATCTGCAGCATATGCATGTACGTAATTAGTGGATTTGTTAGTTATTTCGACGCTTTTTAACAATTTCTTGTTGAAAATCAACAGCATTGCGATGCGTAGAAATATATCTGATCGACTGGTGATAAAATTATTGAAATTGATCCAGGAGCAGCTGAGTTATTAACGTTCAAAATCTTTCATAATTTCGTTACATAATCCATTTTCAGTTTTCACAACGTGTACCCCCATATAGAAATCATCCACATAGTCCTACGTCAAAAAAATGTGCATCTTGAACATTTTCCTGCGTCGTAAATGTATTAAATTTATTCTGTGTGCACTTTACCTTGAAACAGCCAGAATTTTATAAAACTCCTAGAATTTAATTTTGATTCCTAAGTATGAGATATGCCTGATGGTTATATATTCAAAATAAAAAAAAATCTAGTTACAAAATTCATGAAACTACCTAACCCTGAGAATTTTCTTAAGTTTGAGATGCTTACATTTACAAGATACGGACTGTGATTTTATTACAAAAAAAAATGAACAAACGATCATTGCTTGTTCGAAATCAGTAAGCGTTTAAGGCTCTCCCAATCGAGGTCCCAATCGTTGTTATGGAATAAATATAATCACAATTAATTGTTTAAAATAATAGTAAGCCTCAATGTCATATTATTGGTCACATAAAAAAAAAATGTACCCAAAAATAAGTTGCCTTGGACGCAATTTGATTAAGTTTTTATTAAACCGTAGTTTTGCAAAATTAAAAAAGTGCAGCAGGCCCCCCTTCGGCCCCTCCAGATAATTTTCTAGCTACGCTAATGATGACGTGTAAAAAGAAGTTAAATATCAGTACGGGAGCACAAACTTCCAGGCAAGTACAACGAATTTGAAGTCTCGATCAAAGGTCTGCCGCATTGACTGAACCGATCGAGAACGTTGAGCATGT